TAAATTACGTGCTATGTGTGCATATAACCTGTATACTTGCTATCTATGCTGGATGAACGATTTTATACACGTTTTAAATAATTTAAACTGTATATATATTTTATATCTACGAATATGTTGGGTAAACACATGGGTAGATGAATGATGAGAGATGAAAGATGATATGAGTGAACATTAGCAGCTATAAACTTAGTGCCTAACAAATAACATTGACAGCTATGGACTTAGTGTCTATCGAATAAACGTTGACAGCTATGGACTTAGTACATGTTAGATAAACGTTGGTAGCTATGGACTTAGTATCTATTAGATAAACACTGGTAGCTATGGATTTAGTACCCGATGAATGAGCTTTAGCAGCTATGGAATTAGTGCTTTACGAACGAGCATTGGCAGCTATGGACTTAGTGCCTGTCATATAAACCTTGGAAGCAATGGACTTCGTAATGAACGAATGCAGGATAGATGACTCTTAGGGTAGACCTTAAGAGTAAGGAAGATAATGGGGATGAGTAATTGGGTTGATTGTTTGATGTTTAAACATAATAATTAAATTATTGTGGGTTGAAAACCCTATGTACTCACCAGGTTTCCCAACCTGACCCACTCAAGCTTGATCACTCAAATTCATAAACCCAAATGTTGTTTCCATCTTCTTTAAATCCAAGGCCAATAATCCAATTCTTCATAAATCAAGTAGCCCAAATTTTTTTCAAGTTTCTATTCACCAACTAGCCTATTTTTCATCATCTTCAAAGTCACCGATCTTCAAGTCCATTTGATTTCTACATTTCCCTCTATCGCATCGCTCCGCATAGTCTTCAATAAATCTGAAATTAAACACAAAAACTAGAAAATACCCGAAATATATATAAAAGAATAAAAAAGAAAAATATACATGAAGATTAATTAAAAATAATATATATTAAAATAAATATATAAAATACACCTCGTATAACTTAAAAATCAACATATGAATATGAATTGTATTCCATAATAAATGTTTTATTATATTCTTGGATTTCTTACATTGAGTTATGCTGTAAATATCATTTCACTCACATACAGTGTCACATCAGGAAGGTGCACAAACACAATTACACTCACATTTAGGGGTATATATTATATAATATGAGGAAGGGGTGTACTTTGTATAAAAAATGATCTACTAAAAATATATTTAAAAAAAATCTAAAACAAGGCGTCTAGCCATATTATATATATATATATATATATATATATATATATATATTATTTTTTAATTATTATTTTCGGAACTTTATTTACCTTAAAAAAATAAAATTAAATTAAAATAAATTAAAATAAAAATTACCGTTGTTTTTTTTGAAAAATATGTGAAATATTCTAATAGAATATTACACTGTATGTATTCTAATGTGATTTTTAGAATGTCAGAATATTCAACTAGATTTGCCAGATATGTAGAATATTCTAATATTCTACTAGAATATGTAAAAAAATGTATTTTTTTTATTTTTTTGGTATTTTTTTTATTTTTTTTTTGGAAAATATATATTTCGAAAATAATATTGGAAAAAAAAAATTTCGAAAATTTTCAATTATTTTGAATTTTAAAAATATTTTTGTTTTATCTATTAAATGAATGGCATTGCGTCTCACGGTCTCACAAAATTAGGCCGTCTCAGATGAACCTAACCCTATATATATATATATATATATATATATATATATATATATATATATATATATATATATATATTATTTATCTGTTTTGTTATGGTATGTCCTCATTTGATTTGGAATATCCAAATATATATTTAATAAACTTTGAATTAATTTTATATGTTTAACGTTACTGTTCTCGCCTTTGATTTGATTATTAATTTGTTTTTCAAATTAAAAAAATTAAATAATATGGGGAATAAATAAAAGGAGGGGTGTTTTTTAGACGTAATAAAAGTCTTGGAGTGGGTTGCCACTTGCCAGCAAAAACACAAACGTACGCATCACCAACGCCACAAGTCAAAACAAACGGCTCACTGATTATTCAACCACTCTCTTATTCATAGATTCATTGTAGTCAACGCAAAGACCTGGTAAGCCAATTGAATTAGGTCGAACCCAACAACACCCAATTCCGATTTTCAACCTTCTTTACTGCAAAGAAAATTTAGGTTCAAACCCACATAAGGGGAAAAAAGGTATTCTTGTTTCGTTATTTCAGTTGATGGGTTTTAATTATAGAGCCTCCGAAGTGTATGCGCATCATGTGGGTGTCTTGAACTCTACTTTCCAATGAGAAATCACTTCTGTTTTCAGATTTTCTTCATACAGTTTTACTTAATTTTATTTGGTGTTTCTGGTATATGTGAAATCGAGCAGCAATCGATTTTGATCCGGTTGAAGAACGAATTACAGTTCAATTCTTTGTTATCATCAAAATTAGTGTCTTGGGAGCCAAATGCAGCAGATTGCTGCACCTGGATAGGTGTTAATTGCAGCATTGGGGGTCAGGTTATCAGTCTAGATTTAAGCAACGAAACGATATCTGGTGGTATTGATGATTCTAGTTCTCTCTTCCGTTTAGAGAGTCTTGAGACGCTGAATCTGGCTGGAAATAACTTCAATTCCACACCGATTCCTTCAGGATTTGGCAGTTTGACTAGTTTAAGGAATTTGAACTTGTCAAATTCGTGGTTTTCAGGCCAGATTCCTGGAGAATTGTCGCATCTGACAAAGCTTCAAGTTCTTGATCTGTCTTCTTTTTTCTCCTTTCGCTCACTGAAACTTGAGAGCCCCAATCTAGGCATGCTTATCAAAAACCTCACACAGCTTAAAGTTCTTTATCTGGATAGTGTGAACATATCGGCACAAAAATCAGATTGGTGCCAGGCTTTATCCTCTTCTTTGCTTGATTTGGAGGCTTTGAGCTTGTCAACTTGTCAGCTTTCAGGCCCTTTAGATGACTCCCTTGGGAACCTACAGTCACTTTCTGTAATTCGACTGGCTCAGAACAATCTTAG